TCCAGTGCAGAGCATGTAAGTTATGTGTAGGGCCAGACGAAATCTGCAGATTTTTTTTGCTATTTCTGCTGAGAATTTTTTGAAAATCTGCAGATTTATGCGGAATAATTTTGGAAGTATCATAACTAAAACCTTAAAATATGAAATAAAATTAATACATTTTTTACTTGTATTTAATGTTTACAGTGCAAATCCAATTGGATCTACTTTATTTGGTGAACAAAGCAAGTCTCTCTTATAACATCTCCACTAAAAGACAGAAAATATTACTTTACAAATTGTACTGTAAATAAATCGTATAAATATTTTCATATTAGTCAATAATATTTCCAAAATTAATAAAAAAAATACATTTACTTAAGTAAATACACAGAATCAATAATAGGCAAAAAATCTGCGGAATTCTGCGAGCGCAGATTCTGTGTGGGCCTATGTAGGTTGAAAACATGTACACATAGCTTATTACACACAGGATGTACAGCAATACACAAATATCCTTACATATGAAAACAGTTCAAGGATTAAAATGTTACAAAAAAGATTTTTTTTCTACATAAATAATAAGAAACTTTACCTCTTTATGTCAGGGGGCTTTTTTCAGTTTATTCATTTGCATAATGTTATTATATTAGCTGTATAATTTATTATATGCATATTTATATTTGTTGTAATATAAACAAGTTTAGATTGCATACGCTCTAGTCGCAGGAGTTCAAATATTTCAACGTATCCGCAGCTCAAATCAAATCCAAATTCTCCACATACGGAGATGATGGAAACTCTACGGACTGGACTACATTCCATTGGAAATGGATGACTTCCAGTCTGTCGCTTGCCGTTTTGCACCATGTGCTTTAAACTTTGCACCTAGATCATTAAAATCAAGCTCATTGAGAGGGGCTTAACATTATATAAAATATACTTCCTTTATAAAAACAATCTAATTTTATTAAAATTTTACAAATATAAAAAAATCTATATTGACATCCATATTAAAATATATATTGAATGATAAATAGTACAATATTAATAATTAAGCTTTTTAAAATTGTATAGAGCCACTGTTTTAGATACTTAGCAATTATGTTTTGCTGCTCTAAAAGTCTGTCTGAAGGCAGTTTCATCAGGAACTCAATTTCAGGATCACAAGAAAGGTCCTGATTACTTATGCAAATGAGCAATTTTCATTTTAATAATTAATACATGTCTACAAACAGTTATGAACAAGAACTAATGGAACAATATGTTCTAGACAGATGAGACAAAGGTAGAACTGTTTGGCCAGACAGGGGGAAACCAAATAAGTGCTTTGATGAAAAAATAAAAAGACCCTCGAAGCAACTGTAAAGTACGCTGGTGGAAGCTTTATTGGTTTGCGGTTATTTTCTGCCTGAGGGCCTGTCAGATTGGCATCATAGGGTGAACCATGAATCCCACATTGTACCAGAGGACTAGACCATGTGAGACAGACTGTCAAAAAGCTAAAGCTGAAATACAGACATGCACAAAGCAGAGCTTGCAATAAAATGATTCAAAACCCCCAAGCAAAGCCATAAAAATAGTCTTAAAAAGTCTAAATGTTAGGCTATCGATTGGAAAAGTGAAATCCTAGACCTCAACCTCATAGAAGTGGTGTGGGGGGGGACTGAAAACAACTGTACATGCAGAAAAGCACACAGCCAAGAGTTTGATATGAAATATAAAGCAAACATTTGTTAATGTAGAGCACAGATACACCTGAAACACCTACAGCAAGTGACTTCTGCCATAACTACACTGAAGTAGGTATTTTTCCACCAACTTCTTTTTTACTCTATTTTGAACTCTCACTTTTGTTCAGGATGTACATTTTTCTCTCTTTGTAAAGTTGCACACTAAAGAAAGCCATGGCTCTTTTTCAAATATGTTCAAAATGTTATGAAGTCATAAGTGACCTAGAAAAGTTTTAATAAGAAACACCTTTTGCTATTGCATGACACTGTATCTCTTGATGGATAAATTCCAAGTTTTTTGAGTCAGTTTAACAAAAAAAAAAAAAAGAATACTATGTGCACGATTAAAAATAAATATCCAAATCGTCACCTTACAATTATACGATTCTATCAGACATTTTTGTCAAAATTGAGTTATTCACATCCTCTTATTAAATGACAAAGTTATTTACATTTTAAGACTTTTTATTTCAAAAACGAAAAAAAAAAAAATCTACAAAGTCAAACTCTAGCTTGGCTTTATCAGGTTCTTTCTGTGAGCCAATCAGCATTTCAAATACATGCACGGGGACCAATCAGGATCAGCTTTCTTTGTAATTTCGCCCGAAAGCTCAGTTGATAGCTGTTAAAGACCAGAAAGAAACACAAAACTAAGTCGACTAAATAATGCTGCACTGCACAAAATTGAGAAAAAAGCTGAAACTGAAAAGATGTGTGTAAATGTGATAAAGAATTTTTTTGTTGAAAACGAAACAGCTATTTAAAAAATCTAATATATTAAATGTAAAAGACTTTCATTTGTGTGTAAATATTCAGTGTAACAGCTCATTCGCTCATTATCTTTTTTTTTTTTCATTCATTCATTTTCTTTTTTACTTTATTATTTACTTTATTAATCTGAGGACGCCACAGCGGAATGAACCACCAACTTATCCAGCATATGTTTTTTTACGCAGCGGATGCCCTTCCAGCCACAAACCAACACTGGGAAACACCCATACACTCTAGCAATCACACATATAGACTACGGCCAATTTAGCTTATTCAATTCACCTATAGTGCACCTGAAGGAAAACCACACCAACTTGATGAGAATATGCAAACTCCACACAGTAAAGCCAACTAACCCAGCCGAGGCTCAAACCAGCGACCTTCTTGCTGTGAGGCGATTGTGCTACCCACTGCACCACCATGACGACCTGTTTTCTTTTAAAGTCTTTAAATGTGATACTAAGCCTTGAAGGGCACATAATTAAACATGGGACATTTAATACAAAAAAAATAATTCAATAATTCATAAATAGCAGAAATATTACCATATTAGTTATATAAAATTAAAATCTGCACCGGACAAAATATTTAGCACAGCCTACACAAAATATTCCCCCTAAAACATTAAATCAATGTTATAGAAAGCAAAAATGTAACTTTCTCAATCATCAACATTGTTACAACACCAATTTAATTTTTTAAATAAAATTAATAAACAGGCTATATTTCTTATATATGATTATATTTCTTAAAAAGCAACGCTTCAATTAATGATCTGCCAGATACAACCTTATAATTCCAAGCAGAAAATGACTTAAAATTAGGAGGTTCTTTGCCATTTTTTAACCCCAATTTGCAAATTCTCTGTCATGTTAATGTATAAAAGAGCTGTAATCAGGCCATAAAAGTTAGGCCCTATAGGGCCCGAGCCTGACACACTTCTGCCCGAGCACGACAAGTACATTTTGATTGACAGCTTTTTAAAAGCCCAAACCCGTTTATAGCCTGACATTATTCAAATGTGCACAAGCACACAACTCTTTTGCCTTTTTTTAAGAATGAGTGGTTTATACGCGTTTTAACATAATTTATTTATTTAACAAATGTACTGTATAGGCCACTTACAATTTGGAACAAAGAAATAAAATAGGTCCTCGTAACATCTCAGCACACTAAATAGTACATACACTTAGCCGTTAAACTGGCCAGCACACCAATAAAAACAAGTCTTTCTTAAAAAAATAAAATGAAATGAAATTCTAAATTGTGACAGGTATTTGGCAATAACGAAATTGGGATAAAGACTCTCAAGGTTTGCTTCGGCACTTCACTTCACAATTCGGCCTTAAGGCAACAGTGAAGCTGAAAATTATGAAAATAATGCCAACACTGGCCTATATACTCTGACTATATTTATTTAATATTTAGTTATAATTTGAAAATCCTTTATTCACTAAGATAAGGCTACGTGTTTTTGTGGAGGAACGTTATTTGATTGGTCCTGAAAAATGAGGTCACACTCTACATTGAAGCCGATGTCATGGAAAATTAAATGGATGTTCTTGGCTGGTGGAAAATGAAATAACAATCCTACCCAAAACTTGCAAAATTTGCCAGATCACTACTGTGCATCCCGGCTAGTAGCAGCAGCAGTGAAAGGGTGTTCAGTGCTGCTGGACCCACCATCAGTGAGCGCAGGACCGATCATCTTTAGTTACATCTTTGCAGGGATGGGTTTTAATGTTGTAACAAACAATTTCATTACTTTCTTGCGCTAATCAAAATGCATCACATGACTGTTCATTTGCCACGCAAGCTGGAACACAAGCCCGACCCAACCCAGTCTAAAATGATAGAAATTAAGTCTGAACCCACCGAAACCCGTCCGGTCCCATCGAGTTCCTTCAGCTCTAACACACATATTGTTTGCTGTATGGAATGCAAAAAGCTCAATATCTTTAAATCATTTAGAATGCAGACAGAACCTTATAATTTTAAGGTGATGAAATATTTAAATAAAATATTTTTAAGTGCCAAAATGATAGATTTTACTGTAAAAACTGACAATAACTAATGGGTTTTTATTAAAAAAATCTAATTTAGCATGGATACGAGAGTGGCTTCTTCTGAACCATGCCTACTGAAATATTCACTGAATTGTATTAACATTTCATGCACATGTAATTTTTCCCTCTTCAATCATATTTTTGAGAGCGCATGAGAGCTGAGGGGATAAAAAAAAAATCAAGCATCGTTCTATCTTCTAGCTTTGGCAAAATGATTACAGCTCTGGAGCTTTTGAACCCAGGAAAAACAGTGTTTTGCCTGACACCTGTGCTACTTTCCAAATGGAGCGAGAACAATGATCGCAGAGTCGTTCATCATTTTAGAACTGAGCAGGAGCATCCATGCATACTGACTACACCTGCTGTCCACTTTCATGTAACCTTTATTATATCTGCACTTTACAGTTTTCACAGGGAAAATAAATCATATAATGACTTTCACTTTGCTTACCTTGCAGTTGTTCAATGAGGGTCCAAGCCATCCTAGAGCCCTGGGCGTCAAACACCACATGACCCTGAGAGAGAATGAAAATATTTTTACCTCTATTATAGGGCTGCATGATATTGAAAAATCTGATATTGTGATATTTTATTTTTCTGTAATAAATATTGCAATATGAATACAGTTTCACAAGATAGTTGAATAGTTCTATCTGACGGTTTTCTGGGGAGTCGAACAGTATACAGGTACAAAAATTGAATAATCACAATGCAAAAAATGCTTTTCCTACTTTGCTTTGTTTTCTTTCTAGTCTAAATGTCTGAAAACAATTCTTAGATCAAGTAAAAATATTGTTTTGTTTTAAAAGCCAGATGAAATAAGACAAAATTAAGAGTTTTTCCTTAAAACAAGCTAAATTATCTGCCAGTGGGGTAAGTAAAATAATCTTGTTTTCTCTTTGAAATGTAGATATTCTGACTAGAAACTAAGACAAAAATTCTAAGGAAAGAAAAACATTCTTTGTTTGTTGTTGTTGCATGAATTGTATAAATTCCATATAAATAAATTGATAAATTACAGTTCTGTGGCTCCTTGTCAACTATAATCCAGACTTAACATTGCATTGCGATGTGACTATTGTGGATGTGAACATTGCGATATCGATGCTGAAATTATATATTTTGCAGCCCTACTCTATTATACTTCTGCTTTAGCATCAGTGTTGTTTTTTGGGGGGTCCACACTGTGTAGTTTGGTTCTCTTAGTTTGTTTGGTCTGGATCAAGAAAAAATAAAAATAAAAACTAAACTTTTTGTAGTAGCCGATATTTACATGATCAAATGAGATGAAAATCTAATAGCTAATCTAATCTAATGTAAATCAATAAAAAAAAAATATTGCATTTTTTCTTTATTTGCCAAACATTTTTTTTCATCAAAAGCAACTTACAAATATGGACAAAATGTAATCAAAGAAACAAAAGAATGACAATATTAAAATACTCTTATAATAACCAGTTTGTCTAACGAAGTACACAAAGTTTTTTTTTATTTTATTTTATGAATATTAAAAAGCAAATCGTATATTTAATAGAATGTGTTATTTTTAAAAATAGAACCAGGAATTTAACAAGATCAAAATTTATTTTTACATAAATATATGGTTAATATATAATAAGCCATTAACTATGACTTTTACCTTAATAAACTACTAATTTGTTTATTAATAGTTAGCAAAGTAGTAGCTGGTTCAGCTATTAAGCAGGATTATGAATGTAGAATAAGATCATACTTTGTAGGTACCAATAAACAGCCAACATCTTAATAACGAGCAGGTAATAAAGCCAGTTTTCCCAGTGTTGGGTTGCGGCTGAAATGGCATCCGCTCTGTAAAACATATGCTGGATAAGAGGTTCATTCCGCTGTGGCGACTTCTGATTAATAAAGGAACTAAGCCAAAAAGAAAATGAACAAACAAATGAATGAATAAATAGTAAGCCAGTTGTTAATAGGGGGATTTGTTGCTTAAGCTGAAATGTTAATCTATATTTATAAAAAGTATTAATACTTAAAATGCAGATTAAACAGACAGTGAAACTGTTATCCTATTTATTTATGTTATACATATAATATTATGTTAGACAGTTACACTATATCCCCTACGCCAACTAGATTTCACCAAATAGGACATGCTCCTGGATTAAAGTCTATGTTGATCCTGGAACAACATTCCAATCAGCCAATCAGACTTATGATACTTTTACCAATTATGTTAGGTTTATGACTTCTACATGATTGTGATCCAACTTTTATGCACTTAATTTGAATGTTATCACTCGAATGCTCATTATTAGTGGTTATAAGCTGATAGATATGGGCCAGTAGGGGTCTTCTGCACCTACTGGTAGGCTCAGAAGGCTGTTATCATCCATCTACATGGTTAATCAGCTATACTAACAGAGAAGACTCCAGATCCAGATCTGTTTTTACATTACTGCGACGGTTGGGTTTAAGGTTGTGGTAGGAGTAGACGTTATTAAAATACAATTAATGAGAAATTTAATAAATATTATAAATCATTTTTGATAACTTCTGGCCGCAGTCGTATGCCATCTATAACTGATTACCATGTGGATGGATGATATCAGCCTTCTGAGCCTATCAGTAGGTGCAAAAGACCCCTACTGGCCCATATGTATCAGCTGATAACCACCCATTCAATCGAGTGATAACATTCATAACTCTAATTTTGGGAATAATTTACAGTTATGGTTGGGTTTAGTGGTAGGGTATAGGACTGGATTACATTTTGGAACAAAAGTTCCCAAAGTGGGGGTCAAGACCCCCTTGGGGGGGGGGGGGGGTCGCTGGACAATGAGGGAGGGGGGATGCTTGGCGATTTCCAAAAATCAAATTCATTTTAATAAACTATTAGAATGGCCATATTTTATTCATAGCCTACTGAAAACAAAATGGTATGTTAATAGCAACATTGTTAAGATGTTAATAATAAACATTAAAAAACAACATGCAAATAAAAAGCCATCAGACTTTGATTGTTTTGCGCCCCCTGGGCTGATTACATTACATTACAGACACAGCAATAGTGTCAGCTGCAGCAGATTGATTTTATGGCACCAGGTCAAACTCTCTGACACCTTTACCTTTACTCACATACATGAAAAATAAATACAGGCCACAACTAAACATGGAGAATGGTTTCTGGGTGTTGTTCTTAAAAATTAAACAATGACTAGACTTAGGCTTATTGGTATGTGTGCCACGTTAGCCCCTTTCACACATACAGACCTTTCCGGAAAATTGCCGGCAATTTTCCGGAACGGTTGTATGTGTGAACAGGTCCTTTTTGAAAATACCGGTAAATTCGTTCTGGCTATTTTCCGGAAAGAGAAGTTGTAACATTACCGGCAATTTGCCGGAATGCTGCGCTGTGTGAATGCAGAAGGAAGATTCCCGTAATAAGCGCGTGCACGTCTAGAACGTGCTGACGTGAGACGTCTGCTTTAGCCAATCACAACAGTCAGACGCATTTACGTCCGCGCGGTTTGTGAGGATAAAAGCCTTTGAATATTTTTCCAGACACATTTAGCTGCTAGAAGTTAGTCAGATTTCGTTTGTATGTTCTTCTTAATGCCAACTGTGTAAATAATCATCGATGAGATGCTTATGATAAGCCGTTGTTTGTTTAACTTCAAGCTTTGCGTGCGCATATGAGCGCCTGCACACGCAGATAATATGAACATCTCGACATGCGAAAGTGATCCTGCGAAAGTTGTTCACAATATTGATCATCCACAGAGTTTGTAATTTAGTCAAATGTTTACAAATACAAGAGCAGCCGTTTAAAGCTCATTTGTGGTGAATGATGTCAGAATTTACCGGTATTTTGGAATGGATGTGTGAATGCTCTTTTCCGGAAAATTTCCGTAACGTCCTCGCCTGTGTGAACAGCGCTTTTTTGAATATACCGGTAAAGTCGTTCCGGAAATTTTCCGGATATTTACCGGTATCACTGTGTGAAAGTGATAGTTGTGTTCAAGGATTACATATCTATAACCACTTCAGAGATTATTGGGAGTCATGAGTCACTTGCATTGTTATTTCGGGGGTCGCCGGCTAAAAAGTTTGAGAACCCCAGGTATAGACAATCTAAAAAAACATACGCTGATGCAATCCGGTAAGTGTTTATTTTGAAATAATATTAACAAACATCACAATCATTTATACTTCTAGCCAAATTTTTCACTCACCGAAACCCCCTCGAATGAACTTGTGTTCAGGGCTCGGTAAATCTCCGCCGTGATGTCCTTGTTATTATAATTAAAGTCTTCCAATCTGCGGCCCTTTGCCTTCAAGGGTCCCACTGTCTTATTGAGTGCCAGAGCCAGAGCCCATACTGCATCATACGCCAAAGGAGCTTCCTGAAATCCTCCGGTCTCCTCTGGATTCTTCCCGCCCAGCTTGGACATCAGCTGCGCTAGAAACTCCTGTGAGGTCTGGATCAAAGAGAAGGCAAAACAGTATCATCTGGCATGCATACAGATGGCAAAATATAGTGCACTAACTAGAGTTTATGCATGATGGACCTTAAGCAGGACTTCATATTCACTGAATTAGTCAGAGACTGAAAAAGGTCTACAGTTAAAGTTAGAATTATTAGCCTTCCTGAATTATTCGCCCTCTTGTATATATTTTTCTCCCACTTTCTGTTTAACAAAAAAAAAAATATATTTTCAACACATTTCTAAACATAACAGTTTTAATAACTTATTTCTAATAACTGATTTCTTCATCTTAGAGATGATGACAGTACATAATATTTTACTAGGTATTTTTCAAGTATTCTGTTTAAAGTGCAATTTAAAGGCTAAACTAGATTACTCAGGTTAACTAGGCAGGTTAGGGTAATTAGGCATATTGTTGCATAACATTGCTTAATGGAGCTAATAATATTGACCTTAAAATGCTTTTAAAAACTTAAAACTGCTTTTATTCCAGCCGAAATAAAACAAATAAGACTTTCTCTAGAAGAAAAAAAAAATATTATAGGAAATACTGGGAAAAAATCCTTGCTCTGTTAAACATAACTTGGGAAATATTGTATATTCAAGGCTTTTTAAGCTCTTTAAACGTCAAATTTAAGCACCTTTCAAGCACTTTTCAGGTCCATTTTCAAATTTTCTATCACATTACAAATGTTCTAAATTACATATTTACATGCATTTACATCTAACCAGCAAGCATTTTTAGTCTAAAAGACATCTAAACATACTCGTTTTGGCTAATACAAGGCTAAATTTGGGTTGTCAGTAAAAATCTAATAGAAGTCTAAGAACAGGCCAAAACTAGACTAGTCATCAAATAAACCAAATTGAATGACTACACATGTAAAGTCTGTCTAATCTATCTATTTCACAACTAGTCTAGTTTTAGACTTTTCTTAGATGCCTCTTAGATTTTCACTGACAGCCCAAGTTTAGCCTTGTTTTAGTCAGGCTGTCTACGCTTAGATATCTATTAGACATCTATTAAACACAAGATTGTTTGCTGGGTAGTAGTTCTAGTATTTTACAGCATAGTAGCCTAAGGAAATGCTTGAATGGCATGTTAGTCCTAAGCTCAACACTGAAATACTTTCACTTTTTAAATGTAATGCACTCACATCATTAATGTGTCATCTTTTACCTTAAATTTGTATTGATTTTGATTTCATGCACAGCGCATGCTTTTGAAGCAGTAATAGCCATGCATTGTTCTCATTTTATGCAAAAACAAAAATACTTAATTTATGTTAATAATTAATTATTAATATATTTTAAGTAAGATAAATTATTATAAAAGCAACACAATTATATTTTCAAACACTTTTATCAAACCTTAAACGTTTCAAACATTTCCAGGGATTTCCAGCACTCAAACTCTGTATATAATGAATAAAATGACTACATGTTTATAAATGAAGACTGATATTTAATCTGAAAAAAATGGAAAAGTATTAGTATAAGGTTTTTAGATATGTAAATTCAGAGATTAACCTATAATCACAGTAACCTGCTTGTGTAATAAAATGTAGTTCATGTTTCCTTTGAAAATTCTGATGCAGTGAGTTGTTATGATGACAGTGAATGTTGACAGTGAGATATGGTTAGTTGTTATTATTATTATTATTATTATTATTTTCTCTTCCCTCAGCTGTATGGGGTTTAAATGTTGGGAAAGGTGTTGTTCTGAAAAAAGTAAAAGCACAGAAAAAAAAAAAAAAGAAAAAAAAAAAAACCTGCCAGACTTCTGACGGCTAGAAAGCGAAAGTGAGGTCAAGGTAAGTTACAGTACAGTTCATCACCGCGGGAGTGCATCATATAGATGGAGGTACTTTTCTCCTGGGTGTGAAATCTTCATTCGCACACACCAGGACCTGAAGCGCCAAAAATAAACTCCCGCTTTCACACACACACTCTGAAGATGTTCCATGTCATTAAGGGGGGAACTGGGAAAAGAAATAGAGTTGGCGCGCTCTTATTGCGGAGGCATACGAAAACCGATTTCCTTGACATTTTTCACACCTTATAGAAACAGCTGAGGCACCTTCCTCGGCTTCAAACAGGTGCGTTTTAGGAAATGAGCCAAGCTGCAGATGGGCATCTGGATGATTGCTTGATGCAAATAGACAGTGGAGAACGGCGTGAAACTACAGCATTTCGCCTCTCTTTAAATTACATCCTCAAAGTGTGGGGTTAGGCGAGGATGAGGGAAACAAATTATTGTGATGTTGAACCAATTTAGCATGGCCATCTTATCCCAAATGCGCCTGTCCAACATGACAGTCTTTTTACGTCAGATGTGAAGCATAGGTGTCTGGACGGGTGCCCAGATTGCTCCGGATCCAGGAAAACAGCAGGGAAATATGCATGCGAGCCAATTCCCAACACAGAGCCCCGGAGTTGGGTGGGCTCCAGACAGCACCCCCCTTGAGCTCACACCTGTCCATCCAGCTCTCCCAGGGCTCTGACCCCTACAGGACTCTTTGGATTTTCACATCTGAGAATAGTGTGTGCACTGCTAAAGATATAACGGTATGGTTTGAGCTAACCCCAGTGGGAAAACTGAATTCGTTATCTAAACAGAACGAAGCCTGTCTGCACTGCAATAATCTGAGGATGATGTCATTGTAAACTGTGCAGCATATGGAACCACGCGGGACACTGGTGGTCTGATCTTTATGGGTTTTTCAATGGCCGGTGAGGACATGCGGAGTACAGGGTGGCTGATGGCCAATAGATACAAAACAGAATTCATTGATGCTGAATAAATGACTTGATATATGCAAATTATCTCTCTTTCTCTCTCTCTCTTTGTGTGTTCATTGATTAGATAGCCAATTTCATAGTGCTTTCAATGGTTGCAGTTAAATATCAGGAATGCATGATGCATTCATAAAACAAAAATGTTTGCAATGTTGAACAATTACTGCGTTCGACTGTGGGAACAAGTCAAGGGTGAGTGAATGAAGGCAGAATGTTCATTTTTAGGTGTACTATCCCTTTAATACTGTAGTGGAAGTGGCTCCCATAATGTGATGGTGATTAAAAACAAACCTTGTAAAGTTCATACACTAGTTGATTGAATGCGTAATGAACAAGTTTATAGTGTGTGTAAGTGCATGGTCATATGGGACACAATATATAATATATTTAGTGCTCCCCAGCGTGATTGCTAGCATGCCTATTCTGGTGTGTTACTATGCAGGTAAAAAAGTAGTTGCTAATGTGTGCTATGGCTGCCGTACACAAATTATTATGTTATATTGTTAATTATATGCAGTTAAAAGGGTGTTTGTAAAAGTTTGTATCATGCTGCTATGAAGTTGCTAAGGTATACCAAAGACTATAGAAAACACAAGACATGTCACGCGTATAGTTTTGAATGGGGAAAAGTGTACGTCAATATGGCGAATGAAGCCCCGACTACTATTACAGGAGCCAATCTTCAATCGCTATAGACTGACATTTCTCCAGTGGGAGAACTCGAACCAGACGTAACAGTGTGCTTTTACGACAGTTTGGTGGACAACAAACACACTGGAATTTCAGCGAATAAGAAATATATCAACATAAAGCTTGAAATCTGTGCTTTTAAATGAACCAAATGCACTTGAAAACAAAAGGTTTTTTTGGTTTTAGAATCAGTATGAAATGACAGTCTGTCCTGTCAAATACACATCACATGACAGCAGCAACTACGCAAACGCCAACGAACTAGAAAACAAAGAGTCGCTGTCATTTCTCGAGGAGATTTACCATCAAAACCAAGTTATGGATTACTTCAGAAGAGCAGTGCGATCAGACGATCATTATCCAGAGGATGATAATATGTAGAATGGCCAAAAATAAGGTTGGTGTCATGATCTCGTTCTTTTCAAGTGGGCATACGCATTAGATTGGGCAACCTAAAATTAAGCCGATTTTGTATGATTTGGACATTTAGAAAAACAAAATTTATGAGACAGTTGTTGTTTAACATTGGTGAGTCCAAATATGTAATGTAATCATAAGTTTGGCAAACAGTTTTGGAGAATTTGATGTTTCCCCATTCAGACAGAATGCTCAAGCTATTTGCCCGAGAGGCATTTTAAAGATGGCCGTCAAGTGAAATGACTTGCCTTAAATGGATTTTGAATATACTCAATGGTTGCCAAATGTTGTCCAATGAAACAATGTTCATATTAAACTATTGCTATTAAAGCTAATGTATTTTTTTAGAACCAGGCTTTCCTAAATGAGGCAAAAAGACTTAGAATGACATGGCATTCTAATATTACAGCACACCATTGCAATATTACAATCCGTTAAACAAAATGATTGACTTTCCAAAAAAATAAAAAACTTTCTAACATTTACAGATGGAGGGTGTACCTGTGAAACGAAAGCTATGCACAGAGGAAAACACCACATTTCAATCACATTTCAAACACATCTGTCAGCAGCATCTGTGTCTGTCAAAGCATCTGACAAGGCAAACCGCTTCAAGCTATATGTGTTGAATAAATCTTTTTAAAGCTCTTAATATTTAATTATGCACTTTTCCTGCTGCAACTCACAGTATCCTCACTGTTTCTTCAGTGAGGATTATTTATCTGGTTGTTAAGGTATGACATTGGAATATTGTTCAAGCCTTTGATCATCAGAATTGAGAAAATCTATCACCCTTTATGATCATTGTTTAGTCAAATCAGTAAAAAATCATACTGTCCACGACAGACTTGATGAATCCAAAACACGAATATTCCAATGAATTATTAAACAGATTAGGCAGTGGTATGAGCATTAAATTGATGGCTATGAAGATTTTCAATAGTATTTCAGCACACTATGAGCATATATTACAATCTGTTGAGACCCCCGTTTAGTCTAATAGAGAATTTGGACCCAGAAACTGTGATGCATGATGTCAGACTAGCTTTTAACTATAATTTTTAAATAATATACAGTTGAAGGGAAAAATATTAGCCCTGCTTTGAATTTTGTATTATTTTTTTATATATTTTTATATTTCACCTATTTTTAAGATGAGTCTTTTGTGTCTTCAGAATGTGTCTGTAAAGTTTCAGCTCAAAACACCGATTAGATTATTTATTATAGCTTTCAATAAATATTTTCTGCCCTAAATACAAAATAGCTGTTTTTGTTGCCTGTGCCTTTAATGCTAGTTCTCCCTTCCCACCGTTCCCACGTTCCAGTCAGAGTGTGCCTCAATCTCTGCCTCGGCTGCGTTAGATAAACAGTACAGTGACAGACATGCAGGAAGCAGATCTCAAAATAACATTTGTGATGAAAACTACAGTAAGAACTTTCCCAATGGGTTTTTATTGTATTTGTTGTGGAGTTAATTCAAGCCTTTTTGCAATGATGAGTACCACACAATGTTACAAAGTTCACACACACTCACACACAGCACATGCATTTAACTTTGCACTGTTTTGCACGGCAAATGTGACAGGATAGACACTAATATTCACTGCTGTATGGATATCTGTTATGTTAATGTACAGAATAAACCTGATTTAACGGTCACAAACTGGGACTGAAGCGTCTTGTATTATAATTTTACTGACATATGGTTGGGATGATAAAGTAAATACAATAAAATCGCTGTAATTCATTATAAACATGCACGTTTTAAAAATGTTTTAAACTTGTAAAACTTATTCTTGATTACATTTGATGATGACTGATGATTACAGCGAGCCAAACAGATCTTTTAATCCCAGTTACTTTGCGCATGTCCTGTCTTGTTGATATGATTATTCGCGTTAATATGGAGACATGTTATCATGTAGCTGTCAATCAATTCGCTGGGCAGGGAAACCGTACTCCTATTTCATGTTGTGGTTGGCCTCAAAATGGGAGAGATTTGGATCCTTTTTTAATGTCAGGAAATTTATAAAAAGAGACTTATTGTATTTATATCAACCCAATATGACTGTGGACACACTATACCAACACACAGTTCTGTCCAAACAGCTTTCAAAATATGATATTCATAATAGATAACTTTTAACATGATTTGTTAAGTGATGCTTAACAGAGCAAGGAATATTTTTAAGTATTTACTATAATATTTACTATTGTAGAAAGTCTTATTTCTCTCCAGTGAAGACTTAGAGAAACTTGTTCATGCTTTTATCAGCAGCAGGGTGGATTAATGTAACGGCCTCCTCACTGGCCTTCCCAAAAAGACAGTCAGACAGTTACAGCTCATTCAGAATGCTGGGGCCAGGATTCTGACCAGAAGCAGGAAATCAGAGCACATCACACCTGTCCTCATGTCTCTACACTGGCTCCCAGTTACATTCAGAATAGATTTTAAAGTATTATTAATTGTCTATAATCACTAAATGGCCAATGACCTCAATACATTACAGATATGCTCACTGAATACAAACCTAACAGATCACTCAGATCTTTAGGATCATATAAACTAGAAATTCCAAGAGTTCAGTCAAAGCAGGGTGAATCTGCCTTCAGCCACTACACCCCTCGCTGCTGGAATCAGCTTCCAGAAATGATCAGATGTGCTCCAACATTAGGCACATTCAAATCAAGACTGAAAACACATCTGTTTAGCTGTGCCTTTACTGAATGAGCACTGTGCTACGTCCAACAGACTGCACTATTATGTTTTTCTTTTTCGTTTTCATTCTTTTATAACCTATTTTAACTCATTTTTATTTGTTTTTATTCTGCTTTAATAATTTTTATTGTCTGCATTTTATGTTCCTAAACTTGTCTTTTTTTATTCCTGTTTATCTAAAGCACTTTGAATTGTCACTGTGTGTGAAATGTGCTATATAAATAAACTTGCCTTCCCTTGCCTTGCTTGCCTTAGTTTGGCTGGAACACAGCAGTTTTAAAAAGCATCATTAGCCCTACTATGAATTTTTTTTTTCAATTGGCTACAGAACAAATCACTGTTGTCCAATTACAAGCCTAATTAACCGGACTTGCCTAGCTAACCTAAGACTTTAAGCTATATACTAGCATATTGCAAAATAACTACTGAAATATTATGTAAGACATTATATAAGACAAAATAAACAACACATATACAGCATTTATTAATCATAATTGAACATTTACTAATGCATTATTAACATCCAAGTCCATGTTTGTTAACATTAGTTAATGCACCATGAGTTAACATGAACTAACAATGAACTATTGTATTTTCATTAACTAACGTTAACTAATATGAACAAATACAGTGGTAAATGTATTGTTTATTGTTTGTGCATGTTAGTAAATCCATTAATTAACATTAACTAATGAACCTTATTGTAAAGTGTGACCAATAAATCTGTATTAAACAGCATGTGTGAAATATTTAGAAAATAATTAATATTTCACAGGAGCAAATAATTTTTGCCTTCAACTGTATCATTGTGCAGTACTAAATCAATATAGCGCCCAGATCTGGTTGTGACCGGTTTTGCTCTTCCTTAGGTTTTCAACCAACATACAGTGCTCAGCATATATAAGTACACCCCTTACAAATCTATCTTTAAAATTCATATTTTTAGTATGAAGCTATAAAATATTATATTTGTGCATGTGCATTACATTAGTCAGTACTGAAGCCAATTATGGGGTTTATTTAACAAAATAACTTACATAGTAACAATAATGATATAAAAACTAGTACACCCAAATGTATGTTATAGATAAAAATATTAAATACACATTTTTTAAAAAAAATATATAAAAATTGTTTAAATTTTGTAGGTTGTAATTTATGTTTGCAATATTATATTTGTATTATCTTTCAATTTCTAAATATGTTTGGTGACTAAAATATTATTTGAATAAATATATGTTTAATAAATCTATTTTGTTTAAATGCACCAAAATACACCGCCTATATTTACTGGGAAATGGATAAAAACATTCATTTCAAAATGGGGTGTACTCAATTATGCTGAGCTCTGAATATTGCTGGTAACAACTACCATTGCTTCAAAGCAAAACTTCATGGTTTGAGATACTATTCCACAAGCCCACAGGATGGTCCTAGCCTCAGGGCACAAACCAAGCAATAAAGAAAGCAGAAAATAAAATTTTTTCAAGCCCACTCACCAGGTTGGAGGCCCCTCTCACTGTCTCTGGGTTGAGCATGACAATCTCAGTGGTCACATGTCCCTCCACAGCTTCTGTCATCTGCTCAACAGTGCAGTTGATGGATGGGTCTTTGATCTTGAACCAGTTGTCAGCGTACCAGCCAATCAGAAACCACACATACTTTTTCCCATACAGCTTCTCCTTATAGACCTGCAGTTGGGTTGTATGAAACAGGTCGGGTTAGAGACCGACTTGAGCCAAGAATGAAAAATGAACAGAAACACCATGTTTCCCCTTTGACACTGACAAAGATTAATCACGCTCAGCATGATGGCTGATTACCAACCTCACAAAACACTTTCCTGGCTTCCGTTTCGTAAAACAGCCCCACAATGATGCGAGCATCTTGCCTCTGTAGGAGCAGGGGGGAAATTGATGATTAGAACAAAAAAATGAATACAACAATTTGCAGAAGTCAGTGAATTAGCATGAGAGGGAGGTCCCTTTAGTATTTAAAAGTGCTGCTATGCAAAACGCTGCAGTAATTTCGGTTTGGACAAGCAGTCTAATCAGTACTACTTTCCCCTCTCAGCAGTGTGCTATATTCCAGGTTACCATGGTTCTCTGGTGGTACTCCATTAATCTTGTGGACCAGATCTAGGACGGCACACATGGCAGGCCTTTGCTTGAGAGGGAGCCAGGGGCCTAGCAGTCACTGGAGAGAGCAGGACGAGGGGGGGAACAGATCATCTGACCCATGTTCCAATTAAAACGATTCTCCTCAAGAATGAGATCAGATCCCTGCATTGTTATATTTTCCTCCCGGACTTAAATGATGTCCTGTGGCGTGACAGACCCAGAGCTAGCCAATCACAATAAAGGTGCATGTGCCTGTTTTTTTTTTTTTTTTTCCATGTGGATGTGTTGATAAGGAAATCTTTAGGGCAACATCAACATGAAAGAAAAAAAAATGAGGATGTTTTGCTTAAAATAAATTAAGTCTATTTCAGGGCTACTGCATTTCCGTATTGTGACATTTTATTCATAATATTTTCATCAACACACTTTCCCCCTAAGTCCTCATTAGCATATAACAAAACAATAATGAAACAACAAAATATTATAGTGTCATGTTTTGTTGATCAAATTATTAATTTAAAAGTTTTAATTTGTCACCTCATGCTCATTTTACGCTTGAGTTATTTTTTTTTTACTTAAGTAACTACTGAAATGCCCACATTCCCTGTTACTTAAGCCGCCTGGGGTAAATTCCTTCTATGCATGTGTTTGCATTGACGCTGTATGCAATCTACTCCTGTGAATATTCACATTTGGTGCAAACTCAGGATTAGTATTTATATTATGAACTGTTCAAAATTATTTTTTATTGAAAACTTTTTGAGGATTGTGCTTAAATGCTTAAAAAGAATATTGCATATGCTCAATTTATTTTGTTTAATTAATTTCACAATTCTGCCATTGTTATAAAATATCAATAATATGTTATGTTTACTAATATGTTCAGTACCAGCTGGGCCATTTGGTGTTTCTGTGAGGACTTTGAATGTTCTCCCTGTGTTTCCCTGTACTTGGCTGCAGCTGAAAGGGCATCCATTGCATAAAACATGTGCCGGAATAGTTGGTGGTGCATTCCACTAAGGCAACCCCGGATAAATACGGGACTAAGCCGAAGGAAAATTAATGAATGAATGTTTATTATCTATTGTATTATGATGTATAAAAATATTATCATATTCATAATACACAAATCTATCTAATAATGGTACTACCAATCATCAAGATATAAAAAGAAATATATTAAATATGTTAATGAATGTTTCACATTATACGCATTTTGATTTCAACCATGATGTATAAAAATTATTTCCAGGAAATTTCAGCTTTCCAGCAAATCCCTGTGTAAATAAATGCATTCAGCTATCAATTCCAACTCAGGCTCATTCTGAAAAAGTACCGCTTATACATTTCTGGAGAAATTCGTCCCGGGGTTTGTATGCTTTTTGCAGTATTTGTTTTTTAAAATCCACTAGAGGCCACTGTGTATGCTTTTGGGGATCTCAAATGTCTCTCGCGATTGCCATTTCCACCTATACTGTTCTCGTGTAAATCCACCAGATACTGCTGTCGACTGACTGATTAACTGATTGACTGAACCACCTTCCTTTCTCCTCAAACCCAACCAATAGTGTTTTCAAAAGCACTGATTGACCCTGCTATTTACATGTTTATTTTATTTTTTGGCTTCTGTTTTTGTTTTTGTCCACTTTCTGGAACCATTGTTCACCAGACTCAAACACTTTCATCGTGGTCAACTACTTTCTGCGTTTCAAATCCACCAACATACATAGCAAGCTAATTGGACAAACTGGTAAAAGCAGGAAAGCTGTGCATATGGAGGTAAGCGTTCAGCTAGTAAGCAGAAAGGAACGGCATCATAATGCACCGTAGTGTTTGTTTTAAAAACAAAATGCAGCCATACGTAGTTCTGACTACATAATTCGCAATCTCCAGAAACGTATATTGGGCTACATTTTCAGAATGAGCCTATGTTGATCAATTCAGATAAATAAATTCAGATAGAGATGTTTTAGCTAAGAAAATCAGCAAAGAGTTGCAACATTTTTTAAAAAGATTTATATATATATATATATAAACATAATATATAACACATATATACATATAATGCAATATACTATTTGATAAAATTATTTGTGTCACAAAAATTCTGTAATGAAAACATCTGATATTTCATGACACTCCTAATAGGAACTAAATTATTTTTAATTATTTTGTTTGTTTGTTTCTTTCTGTTTTTGGGCTGATGCAATATAAATCTATGTGCATTTCTCATCTGTCAGAGAATCCTGGGATGTTGTTGTGAAGTTGATCTGATTCCCCTAACACGGCACTGACAGAAACACCTCCATGTTGCCATGGCAGCAAGTTCATAAATGTAATGAGCGAAAGTGAAAGCACCTTGAGGTTCTTGACGGCCACAGCAGGATCCGTGAGGAAACTTTGCCTCACGCTGATCTCAATGCCTGCTTCCTTCACCCTCTGCTCTAGATCATCCAGAGTCTGTGAGAGAGAGAGAGAGAGAGAGAACGAGAGAGAGAACGAGAGAGAGAGAGAGAGAGAGAGAGAGAGAGAGAAAGAGAAATGAGATTAAAAGAGATCAGAGACAGGAAGAAAAAGGAAAGTGCATGGAAACAAGAAAAACATCTGCAAATAGATGGGAGGTGATGCCGGGAAGAAAGAGATGAGGAAGATTATTATTGCAGCAGAAAGGCAGAGTTATGGAGATAGAAAAATCAGGAAAGAACGAAAATTAGAAAGAGACTGGCAAATTCAATTTCTTTTGTTCAGACTTGTTTACTTTCCTGCGTGTCCTAATAAAATGAGAGTGTAAATTTGAATATAGTGTGTCTAACCTCAGTCTGCAGAGTGCAGGAAGAAACAAAAGGACTTAGATTCCAGATGCCAAATGTTCTCTTTTACATTTCCTACATAGCATTGTAAAGACCATGCTAAGTTCTGAAGAAAACTTTGTTTCAGGCACTCTTGTAAATACAGTTGAACTCTGAATAACATCTCAAATGATGTTTATCGGAGCTTTTTTTACAATCTTTCCTATACATTTTTTTTCTTCTGGAAAAAGTCTTATTTGTTTTATTTCAGCAAGAATAAAAGCAATTTTACAGTTTAAAAAAAAAAAAACATTTTCAGAACAAACCACTGTTACTATGAGTTGCTTAATTACCTTAACCTGCCTAATTAAGTTCTATGTTCAATGAATGTATATTACATTTTCTACCCTTAGAGAAAAACTATATAAACTTCTCATGTTAATATCACACACGAAACAGACATGAAACTCTGAATGTCATGAAGCTATATATATAGGTTTGTTTTTTCTTAAAATGTTTGAGAAATTAAATCTGACAAAAAAGTTCTTTAAACAATTAGTTCTTTAAATCATTAAACATATTAAAGACCCAGATGACTTTTAATATTCAATTAACATTACTGGAAACCATTTATGGAAAGACCATAGTTTTGTCCCAAATGGCACACTATGGACTCTTGTTCACTCAACAATGTAGTGTATGAGTTTAGTGTCATCTCAAATAAAACACTATTGTTTTTGACTAAACAGAAATTCAAATAGTTTCCCAGATTGAGTTTAACGGTTGCCAAATTAGTGAAACAAATGACTAAACTACACAATAGTACCTGTCATGAGTATAACCACATTCACTATTAGGAGATTGCATAATCACTAACAAAGATTTGTAGAATCCAAAATAAATGGGCACCAGAATCCAAAATAAATGGTTCGAGCCCCGGCTGGGTCAGTAGGCACTTCTATGTGGCGTTTGCATGATCTCCCTATGTTCACTTGGGTTTCCTACACAAGTCAAAAGGCGTGCGCTATTGGGTAAGCTAAATTGCCTGTAATGTATGTGTGTAAGTTGGGGGTTAAGCGTTGTGCCAACAACGCACCTCGTAAAACTTGTGAAACACCAACATGGTGTCACTAAATATCAACTTCCATATAAAATGACCCTGGGAGTAAGCAAGTAAGTAATCAAAAATAAATAAAGAAATCCAAGCTCAGCGCCTAATAGCTCCGCCCCTTCCATTACATGAGCAAAGCTTTGACTTTTTAGAATAAAAGAAATAATTTGGTGTGAATGCACTCATTATACTATTTATATTATTGTGCAAAATGGTGCAGAATATTACATAAAAAGCATGTGACTAGAATGTACTTTTTGCCAGAACATAAGCTTTGACTCGGTACATGGTACAAATTTTTATAGATTTTATAAGATCAAAATGTGAGTGATCACAAACATGGGGACAAAAAAAATCTATATTTCACGGGTTTTCTCTTATGGTGTGTGGTATGTCATGATGTGACAAAACACAACGCCAACATATCTTCAACCAGAGAGCTTAATATGAACACAGCAAATCTTTCAAAACCTCTCGAGTCTCAAGAATAAACATGGCGGGCAAATAAACAAGCCGATCCTCCATCTCTATTGTCCAAATCCATTTCACTTTGAGCTGGGCCAAGACTATGTTTGTTATGCTTCTGTCAGCTTGCTTTCTGATTGTATATCATCTTCTTATTTCAAATTATAATCCCCAGCTTGTACAGTGTGCACATTGGTCCCAATGTAACCCCGCCGGTCTTAAACTACCCAACCTGCTCTAAGCTGGGATCGAACAGGTGATTCTTTGTATAGGAGTCAATTGCTCTAACAAGGAGGCTAAAGACCATTGGATCTAGCATTTGTCGCTAGAGCACCTTTTGAGGTCAGAGAAGTGAGGTTTACCTGCACAGCACTTTACTAGCTGGCCTCTGCTACACTCACCCCTCTAAACCTCACTCCCATCTAGGTCATGGCACCAATGTAACCCCGCCGGTCCTACACAACCCAACCAGCTTTGAGCTGGGATCAAACCAGAGATTCTTTGTATGGGAGTTGGTTGCTCTAACAAGGAGGCTAAAGAAGGGGAGTGAGGTTTACCTGCAGAGCACTTCACAAGCTAGCCTCTACACACACATCAGGATTTCTGATTCAGGTTTGGACACCCTTGATTTAGTTCAACAAAAGCTTGAGGCCACATACTGTATAACAGAATCCTGTTCCTGGTGATCTACCTTCCTGCAAAGTTCAGCTCCAAGCCTGATCAAACACATCCAAACAAGCTAATTAGGATCTCGGGGAACATTTGATAATTACAGACAGGTGTGTCGGAGTAGGGTTGGAACTGATCTCTGTAGGTAGGCAGAACTCCAGAAGCAGAATTAGGCACCCCTGCTGTATGATATAAAAGACAGAAGTGAAGAAGTATCAACTAGACGATGAAAAAAGCAGGTCCCCAACTAAATAATCACACAACGGCAATATTATATGTTAGAGAGAATAAGTATTTTTTAGAAGATAAGAGTTACAAACAACAGAAAGCAAATGTGTCCATTCAACGTTATAAAAACATTGATGCATTTGCCATTAATTTGGGTTGGTCCAATTAAAAGGGGTGGTCCAGAGTGTGTTATTAAGGCTTGGTTATGCTTATTGTATAACCAATTGGTATTATGCTTCATTTTTAAAATATCAGATTATTGTTCATATATCTTACTATGATTATATACTGCTACTGAGCTAACATGAAATGAACTGTCAAATTTTTAACTCCTCTGAAAGGCCCACCCTCAAAAGGCTCTGATTGGTCAGCTGACTTAATGTGCTGTGATTCGCGGATCGGTTACATGTCACCACCATTTTTTTTGTAGTCCCCAATCTTCGTTCATTGTAGGTTTTGCTAAGCTAACTTTGTAAAAACCAATGCTTCCCTTTGTATTAAACTTTAAGCGTATTACATTTAGAGACGTTGTTTATGTTCACATATCTGCATTACACATGAACTAAAGTTTAAAATATGACATTGTAGTGGACCACCCCTTTAAAGATTCACATAGAGTACCATAATACATTTTAAATATGAATAAAGTACATCTGGATTTAAAGGTTATGTTGTCAATCACATTTTAAGATTGATGCGCATGAATTCTGCAACAAGAAACAGTGTCAGTGGGTACACGGCATCCCTAAAAGGACATGGTGATGAAAAGCGAAAAATAATTTTTCCTATTATATGCTCTCTTCAAAATTTTACATTCCCTTAAGAAACTGTCACTCATCAAACTAGGTAAAGGCAAAAACTACACTGTGTGAACAAGTTTCTCAGGGGAACACCATAGCATTGCGAGAGGACACAAATTTTCTGTGAACATAAAAAAAAAATACTGAAATATATTTTTTTCTCCAATCCCTTTTTTTTTTTACTTTATCTTGACTGCAAACTCTAAAATGCCTGCTTCAGATAATGCAGCAAACTTCTAGTGGATAAAACCAAGTGTACTTTTTTGCTCTCGCCAAATTTTTTGTGTATACACATTTACAACTAGTCTCATTAAAAAAGTGACTTTCATTTCATGTTTTATTGCAACTTTGATGTATATGGAGCATGACTTGGACCAATGAGATTTTGCAGTAGGCGGGGCTACACAATGCTGAAAACAGGGGCCCAAAAAAACAAAAAGCTTTCACTTTGATTCTTTTATTGCCTCCTAAACACTGATCTAACAATTAAGCATTGCTGCTTCTGTTGTCACTTTTTCACTGAAAGATGTGTTGGACTCCCACATCAAGCATTTGTTTTTAATTTTGGTTTATTTGGCAAAGAAATGTATGCTTTTATTGTGGTCATCTCCTCCTTTAAAATGTGGTTGTCTCAAGTATGTATGCTATTTTCTCTCGAGAAACTCACATATGACATCCATCAAAAGTCAGATACTTTTGGCAGCTAGAGGCACCTTTTTGGCATTACATTAAGAATTCTTCCTGATTTTCTATTCCATGGTGCATATTTTAGCTTCTAGCCTGACTGTATTATACTTGTTTGTATATTTCACTTTTTTCCTACTGTATAGCTGAGACTATTTGTATGTGCTGATGTATTAAAATACCCGACGATTATTAAACAAACACATAAATAAATAAATAAAACAAGCAAAATAATCTGCTGAAAAAAAAAATAGTTTTTGCTGTGAAATGTGATTATTTTCCTTATTTCATTGGCAGATTATTTTGCTTGCTTTACTTAAAAACTCGCTTTGCTTTGACTTATTATTTCTAAAAACAAGACAATATTTTTTATTGTCTAGAAAATTCTTTTTGATTTGCAAATTTTTCAATAATTTAAATTACCAGGGGTCAATTCTTTGTACATGAATTACTCAATTAGCTGGATTTGGTTATTGAGGATTTGACACGATCCAGGATCGTTGCGATCTTGAAAACTCATCCGAGACTTGTTGTCATAGCAACAGGTCTGGTATCTCAAACTTGCTCGGGAGCAGCTTATTTGATATAAACAGGATTAGATCGGGTCCCTAAATTGCAAAGTGAGAGGCATCGCAAACAAAAGTGAATGGGGGGGTAATGGGTGGGGTTAGGGTTTGGGGCAAGGGTTGTAGCGGATGAAAGTGAAAAGCAGAAGGTGGATGGTCAGTGGGGTCAGGTGGTGTCTTTAGGGCATGGGGGCTTGTGTCACAGATGAAACTGACGAGCGGGGGGGTATTGGTGTCGCGGACGAAAGATCAGATTTCAGAGGTGTTCTGGCACAAATTAAGCCCTGTCTATAGGTTAATAAAAGTTACAAAAATATATATATAAATAAAACTGTTATGCAATCTACACTCTGAAATGAAAAGAACAAAAACTGTCAACCCCCCAAAAGGTTCAAAGAGAACATTTATTAATATGGAGTTTTTAGAAATGCTGGTATCAAACCAGCTTAAGTAAAATGTATGTATGATAACAGACCTGGCCAATATTCGTTCTTTTTGTTATTTTTGTTTAAAGGAAATAGAATAATAATTCATGCATCCATGCACACATTTTGATACTACACAAAAGTTGCAGACAGCTTTACCAGTATCAAAGAGCTTCATTAAAATGAATTCATACAGACATTTATTAAGAAACTTGAATAGGCCTATAATAAAGAAAATCCATAAAACTAAATAAATTGCTAAATACTCTTGACACATGAAAGTGTAAAGCATGCAGCCCATAACAATTGTGGAAAGTTATTGCGTATAATATTTAACAAACTGTTTACTAAGAATTTAATATAATTTTGCTCACATGTATAATTGAATTTTAATTAGATGATTTCATTATGCTGTGTATCGTCAGACAATTCTCACATTGCTGATCATGATTTTGAGGATTGATAGATCAGTACTTCACAACACCAGACATTTTTATCTGATTCATAAACTTGTTTGAAGAACCAAATTAGCTAGAGATCAGTTATCATGATTAAAAGATCCAGGATCCGCCAAACCATCTTACATAATTTAAGCGAGGTACAAAGAACAGACCCCAGAGGATTTGAATAGCTCTATTCGGAAAGACTTCATTCATTTAGATTGACCAGGATGATCAAGAATTGTTCTATGCAGAGCATCTGCATAAAATATAACAAATTAAAAGCATGTGTAAATACAACACATCAAAGATTTGAATTAAAAGGTTAAAAGAAACAGGGCAGTCTAACAGCATTCAAGTACAGAAATTAAACAATCAAATGTACATCAAAAATAACATAGTCATCATTGTATAAATAATAAATTTTAATATTTAATAAATAATCTAATCCTGCGATGTGACTATTGTGGGTACACACATTGTAATATTGATGCTGCAATAACTCATTGTTGAGTCAAATATCAAGCACAAATATCAAATACAAATAAATATCTCACTCACAGAGGTGAAGACCTCGGTGGTCTGCTGGATGGTGGCGATCTTGGTCCACTTCCACTTCTGGAAGAGCTGCACGCGGGTGGGGTTGTGCAGTGTGGCTGAGGGGTGTGTGCGGAAGAAGGTGGGAAAACGCTGACGGTTGGAGAGAGCTGGAGAACTGGATCCATACGACAACTGCAAGCAGAAAACAATGTTCAACAGAAAGACATTCACACATTGGAGTACTTTGAAGGAAAATTAGAAACATGCAAGTGAAGAAAAATGTGTGATCAAATCACCCACGGGAAAACCAGTGCCCAAGAGGCTAAATTATCTCCTGCTGGGTTGCGCACAGTTCACTGGAACAGCTTTATTTAACATTGAGAACTGTAGTGTGCGAGACAGGCGTACAAAAAAAGTTAAAATGCAAAACAGAGGTGTAAAATACAAGGAAAAAAAGAGTAGTAAATTTCCTGTTTCGATTGCAGCACTGTCATCAGTCAGTCAAATCAGATGACAGCAGAGGGTTTTTTAGCTATTTTGCCAATAACTCAATGTCATTCGCAGATGCAGCGAGACGTCGTTGAGTGACAGGTCTGCTGAGGGGGTGGAAAAAGGGAGGGTTTCAAGGCCAACAGGGGGATATATAGGTCAAAACTCATATGTGAAGAGAAAAAGCTCTCAACAGTTACAAAAATAGAGCAGAGCATGAAAAATAAAGCGACTGATTTTCAAAAAAAAAAAAGAGAAGAAGATGAGGCAGTGGGAGTGCACTTCAAAGACGAGCCAAAAGCGAAACAAAAATGACATAAATATCTGATCCAAAATGTCTGGAAGCTATTTCACTGATTTTGGGTATTTGAATGAAGTGCAGCATGTTCTGAAATAGGAATGCATTTAGGTAGCTCATCTTCACTCAGCTATTGAGCTTTCAGTGATGAGACCTGTTGGAGAGCTCGGTTTGTGACATACAAAGTCATGCTGAAGTTCTATACTGCTTGTAGGGAGTTACAGGCATTATTATTTGATTTAGATTTTGTTTTTGGTCAAATGGTCAGATTTTTCATTCATTTTCTTGTCGGCTTAGTCCCATCATTATTCTGGGGTCGCCACAGCGGAATGAACTGCCAACTTATCCAGCACATTTTTACCAACCGACGCCTTTCCAGCGGCAACCCATCTCATGGAAAATGGTCAGATTTGTTACAATTTATTATAAAAACATTTTTAAAAATGTAATCAATTATTATTGCCTTCTGATTAGTTTATACATTTCATACATATTATATAAGCACTTTTTACCAGAGGCAGATTAACAAACTGACTGTGAAGTCTAGGTCAGCGTTTAGCTGAAGTATAAGATAAAACAAACAACACAACAAATATGACAATGCCAAAACAAAACAAACAACAAAAACGTTTTAATTAGAATCTGGGTTCATCAGCCAACTAAATTAAGTAAGATGTTCAGAAATTTTAATAGATAGAAAAGCATCAAAAAGAACTACATTATCAATCTAAGGCCTAATATTACATTATATAAATTTGCTTATTTTTGAATCTAATAATGCATTACTGAATCGCTTTCAGCTTTAAAACTTTCATACAATTTCAAACATACAATTACAGTAACAGCCAAAAGCCAATAGGTAAATCTAGTTCCTTGAAGAATCGCAGCAAAATGCTAAAGTTTTAGATAAATAAATAAATAAATAAATAAATATATATATATATATATATATATATATATATATATATATATATATATATATATATATATATATATATATATATATATTATTTTATTTATTTATTTTTTTTTTTCACGGAGAAACTTATTTTAATGTCATCAAATGATTCTTGATATAAATTTGCCCAACAAGACTTTTTGGAACTGTATAAAAATTATTGTTAAACTGAATAACAAATCTTTGTAAATCATAGTAAATGCGTGACAGCAATTGTTCTTGCTCAGGTAAAAAAAAACAGGATTGAATAGGAACATGAAAAAAGTTTCATAATTGAGAACTTATTTTAATCCTGTATAATTTAATCTCCTATATCATTGCAACAAATAAGTCACTAATATAGCTCTAATACAGTTTTCTTAACCCAATAGGGGTGTAAAAATACACTCAAAACAAATCAATACGTATCTTGCTACTGATGTTATATTATCTCAATATTTCATGCTTAACAAAAGTTTACCATTAGTATTTTTATCATTATTCCCTTAAGCATTATTTCTCAAACACATAACATTATAATATGTAGGCAGACTGTTGGTAAAAATGCTTTTTTTTAGTTTGTATAGACTTGGGGTGGTGGACTTAAATAGACTTTAAATAGGTCAATGTACAGAACAGTGATAACATCAAAATATTATTCAGAATTCAGTTTATTTAGTTTATTAATTAATTAGTTTATTAATTATGCAAGACACATATGCTTGTGGGTGTCACGGTGGCGTAGTGGGTAGCACAATCGTCTCACAGCAAGAAGGTCGCTAGTTTGAGGCCCAGCTGGGTCAGTTGGCATTTCTGTGCGGAGTCTGCATGTTTTCCCCGGGGGTTTCCTCCAGGTGCTATAGGTCAATTAGGTGAGCTAAATTGTCTGTAGTGTAAGTGTGGGAATGAGTTTGCATGGATGTTTCCCAGTGATGGGTTGCAGCTGGAAGGGCATCCACTGCATAAAACATATGTTGGATAAGTTGGCGGTTCATTCCGCTGTGGTGATCCCAGATTAATAAAGGGACTAAGCCGAAAAGAAAATTATGAATGAACATATGCTTGCCCTCTATCACTGACTACATAAAAGTAGTTATACTGTTCATAAACAGTAGTTATACTGACATTGACACTGTAAATGATCGCTTTGTGCAACGTTATTTACAACTTTATTACCTGTTACTCACAGCCTAGACAAATGGCTCTCTGAGCATGAACATTAAAGTATGCTCCATGAGCCTACTGAATGTAGTCACATAATTTTACACATTTACAAACTCTTTCCAAGGTAAAAAAATCAAAATGCATCAGCTCACATGTGATTTTGTGACAAAAAAATTCATTATTCAAAGTTGTATAAAATTATGTCATTTACATTATTGGTTGAAATGCCGTATAAATATAGTAAGGTGACTCTTGATTAAAACCAGCTCAATATCATGCATCATTTTGTTTACACCATTGTTGCATTTATATATCACAATTTCTCAATATTTAAAAGTATATCATCATTACACGCTTGTCACTCAACATATACTGTAGTTTTTTGATATTCAACTACTAGGCTGAATCACTGTAACACTGAATCACTATGGTGCCTACATGCATAATGTTAAACACCAAAATATTTATTGGATATTTGCTGCTGATAATTTTTTTCCATCACAGAACATTTTAAAATAGTGCTGGACAAAGATTTATTGCATGCAAGATAAATGTCTGTATATACATAGTATAAGTATGTGTGTTTATTGTGTATATATAAATACACACATGCATGGATATGTTTGCACAACCTGACAAAAGTCTTGTTGCTTATCCAAGTTTTAGGAAGAACAAATAATAACTTGGCTTCTAGTTGATCAATTGGTATCAGAAGTGGCTTACATAAATGGCAAAGGCCTCTAGATTTAATTATTTAATAAGGACAGTAAGGTCTGACTTTGCTTAGACAAAATGTATTATTACTTAACAGAATTAATGTACAGTATAGACTATAAAGTCATGGTGCAATTATTTTCAATGCCTCCTCCTTCTTACAACAGACATGCTCAATAATGTTCATATCTGGTGACTGGGCTGGCCAATCCTTCTTTGCTTTCAGGAACTTTGATGTGGAGGCTGAAGTATGAGAAGGAGCACTATCCTGTGGTTTGTAATGTAATGGGCAGCACAAATGCTTTGATACCTCAGGCTGTTGATTTTGACATCCACTCTGCAGATCTCACATGCTCCCATACTGAATGTAACCTCAAACCATGACTTTTCCTTCAACATTTCCAAGATGAACCTTCCATTCATCTGGATATAAATAGATATAATCTATATTTAAATGTAAATATCTTTGTAATAATTGTTTTGTATAGTTTTGTTTTTATGTATGAATGTATTTATATATATTTTGGATGTGATTAATCACTATTACACTTTGCCAGCACTATTTTAAACCTTGGGTTTGTCTTCAATATCGTTGTGGAAACATTCCATTAGTAAACACTGAAATTGAACCCACCACTATGAGGTTCCACATGCGAGCAGCTTCGGCCACCAGCGTGGACACAGAGCTGCAGCCAGGCATCAGGACGATCTTTATAGGCTCTGTGTACAGCAGGTCATACAGCAGCTTTGTGGCCTCTCCAGGATCACACTGAAAAACAGACACAAAAACACACTGATATATAAAATCTATATTCAGATTTGCAGCACAGTAGTTGCTATTCATAATGCATACTCTTAGTTTATGCTCAAAACTGCAGACGTCAAAAAAGAGCACATTTCACACTGTATATACATTCACTGCTACGGTATAAGGACCCCCATAGGGAGAGAGACTTCATTTCATACTAAATCCCATAAGCAGGTAAATATGCATTGAAAGCAGAATAGAAAGAAGCAGAGATAGATAAAGCAATGCACACAGAGGACGGTTTGCAAGTCGCTCAAGGACACGCTCATTTGCATATACACCAAAAAAACAATGTTTGTTTGCTGGACATGTACTCTAATCAGTCTTTAACCCGACACTGACAATCTGCATCTTTTTACCCCGTTTCTTAAAATGACTGTCAATGAAAAATCAATATCCCATTTAAATGATAATAGTAGGTTAAGGCAACAATTGATCATGTGTTGAGAGCAAATTGTGCTGCAGCCAATGGCCTTGAGCGCAGCCAGCATTTTAAAAATCTGGCCTTTGTTTCATTGCTGTGCTTTTGGGATCAAAAAGAAGCTTAAACAGGAGCAAAGCTTTTTAAAAAAGAATACAACAAACATCCGAATCAAATGATTCAAGGCTTGATTGGTGCAATCAAGTAAATTCAATTGGCAGAACCCTGTAGCGACTTACTGCTCTTTACTTGTTGGTGTCTAATCTGGCACCCTTATCCAGATACATCTCTATTTTTGTCTCTCCCGATGGTTTAATTTCTTCTAAACATGCAGCTAAATCACTCCAATTATTTCAATCACAACAAAAGAAGCGTTTTAAAGAGAACCTGCTTTTGTTTTCTGAATAATAATGGTTTCCTGTGAATAGTGTTAAATGAATGTGACAGTCTTTGAGAGAGTTATACGAGCTGTCTCAGATATATACACATTTTTTTTTAAGTAAAGGAAACAAAATAGGTCTGACTGCATGTTTAGAATGCTGCGGTAGATTCTCTACACACTCTCTCTGGGGGTCATCAGCAGAATTGTATCCCCAAAACGAAACCCCTGTTTGGGCTTTAAATCTCCTCCCTGCCATGACTTTCCAACCCTAAGGGACGCCATGCATGAACTTCACTTTTGTAATGCACCTGGGTACCACCAAAACAAATCAACAGCAAGAACTAAATTCTGATGTTTTTTTCTTTGTCTTTCTGTTTTTTAACCATTTAACTGCCTGCTCTACCAAATGGTCGACCATATTTTGATTGTTTTAAATGATGACTGTTAAAGTCATTTAAGGAATGGCTGGTGTAAATAATGGTTTACACTACACAGCATTGTTTACAAAAAAAAAAAAAAAATCCAGCAAAACATAATCCTGTTGCACTACTACACTTGATTTGGGTTTTATTGTAAAAAAATAAGAAATAAGAAAATATTTTATGCCATACTTCAAAAAATAAAGATGATTTAGTATTCAAAAATGTTTCATTTTAATTATGTTTTGAAATAAATTTGTCTTACGCTTCATACTTTCAGATTTTTCAAAGTGTATGTATTAATTCTGGTACTTTTACCATACACCAACATATCAACCATTTGGTAGAGGTTGAGATTTTAGGAATAATGGGATGTATTGAAAATTCATTGAGTGTGTTATCTAACGACATAAGCCATTTTGATCACAGCCGTGGCTCATGTCGAAAACGTGACCCGTTACTTACAGGCAAAATTAATGTAACGTCTTCAAAGCTTGCAAATACAAAAATACATGGCATACATTAATGCCTTTAATTTATAGTAGGTTATTTATTAAGTATCTGTACTGTATATGACATGGACCTGTCGGTTAGAACATTTCTGCAGTAATTTGAATGTGTCAAATTGTAAAAGTAGACTTTTCAAAAAATAAAAAATAAATAAACAACATCTTAATAATAATAATAATTATTATTATTATTATTATTACTATTATTATTATTATTAGTAGTAGTATCATTATTATATATATTTTTATTATTATGAGGTATAGGATTTTTTTTATTTCTTAATAAACTGTAAATTAGGCCTCCAACCATTAATGATTTCTATGATTTCTATGAGATTATAATACGTGTTAGCTAAGTGATTTTATGTGGAATATTCTCAATAATATTTGTAAAGGAAACATATACAGGTCCTAAATGTGTCGTTTTCACAGTCAATATTTCAGTTAATATGTAAAACGTATAAATTGTATACCAAAACTAATATCGGATTTTTTTCTTAAATGTGAGCGCATGTAAAACAATATAATTTGCAAAGAAATATTTAGAGCATCATTATAGACGTTTTACATAATAAGTAACATGGTTTAAATGATGGATCTGAGACAGAAATACGGTTTTGGGAAACAATCCTCACTACATCATTCTTTTCCCAAACAATGCATTGTACTATGGTAGTTCAGTCGTGACTTGTTGTTTGGGAAACGCACCCCTGATTTAATCATTATATCAGACAATGTTTTGACTTGATATCGTATAAATTGCTAACTACTATTTTTATTTAAAAATAAAATATCAAAACTCGTTTTTGGATTTTTTATTTAGGTTGTCCTATATTGTTGCTTAGTATTTAATTAGTGTAATATACAATTTATTTTTTCTTGTACCATTTTTCAAAATATCGTTGTGTGTTTAACAGAAAAAGGAAACTCATAAAGGTTTGAAACAAGTAAGGACTGAGAGAACGATAAGAGAATATTCCGTTTTTTGGGTAAACCGTTTTTACATTTATGCAAATAAAAAACAATATAATAATAACAACAACAACAACAACAATAAACAGGAGGAAATCGTCTATATATTTTGTATACAGTTGAAGGGAGAGTTATTAGCCCCCCTTTGATTTTTTTTTCTTTTTTAAATATTTCACAAATGATGTTGAACAGAGCAAGGATATTTAAACAGTATGTCTTAGGATACTTTTTCTTCTCGAGAAAGTCTTGTTTGCTTTATTTCGGATAGAATAAAAGAAGTTTTTAATAAAAAAAAAACATTTTAACGTCAAAATTATTAGCCCCTTTAAGGTACAGTTAAAGACAGAATTATTAGCCCCACTGAATTATTAGACCCTATGTTTATTTTCCCCCCAATTTCTAAACATAATAGTTATATTAACTCATTTATAATAACTGATTTATTTTATCTTTGACATGATGACAGTAAATAATATTTGACTAGATATTTTTCAAGACACTTCTACACAGCTTAAAGTGACATTTAAATGCTTAACTAGGTTAATTAGGTTAACTAGGCAGGTTAGGGTAATTAGGCAAGTTATTGTATAATTATTGTTTGTGCTGTGGACAGTCGGAAAAAAAATTGCTTAAAGGGGCTAATAATTTTGTCCTTAAAATGTGTTAAAAAATTAAAAACTGCTTTTATTCTAGCCGAAATAAAAGAAATAAGACTTTCTCTAGAAGAAAAAAATATTTCTGGACATACTGTGAAAATTTCCTTGCTCTGTTAAACATAATTTGGGAAATATTTAAAACAGCAAAAAAAAAAAATTGACCTTAACTTTTTTTTTTTTGATAGTCTATAAAACATACCATCAATATTCAATAACTTAACTAATTACATTAACCTAACCTGCCTAGTTAACCTAATTAACCTAGTTAAGCCTTTAAATGTCACTTTAAGCTGTATAGAAGGGTCTTGAAAAATATATAAAATATTGAGTACTGTCATCATGGCAAAGATAAAATAAATCAGTTATTATATATAGGCCAATAATTTAAGGGGGCTAATAATTCTGATTACAACTGTATTTTAAACAAATATACAGGAGATGACAATACTCTAAAATATACTTATTTTACAAAGCCAGTGGCATCAATATTTACGTTAGAAGTGAATTAAGTGAAGGTTAAGATATGTCGTTCCAACAATTGATGTAAGAATATGATATTCCTCAGAAGCACTTCTTCAAATATGTACAAATAAGAAGTTTTATACACTCTGAAATTAAAACCTATTTAGAGCCTTCTTTGTCAACTATAGAAGAACATACTGAACATTTAAGGGATAAAGGCAATCTGTCTTTTTTTATAATACACTTTTAGAGGGTTCAAAAGAAATTTTAATGTCCTATTTAACTGCATGGAGAAATGACCTTCAGGAAGATATTTCTAAAGATGAATGGATGGATTCTTGTTTGTTTGCGCAAGCATATAGTGTAAATACTAGATGCAGATTGCTGCAATATAAATGTAATGCAATATAAATATAAATGATAATATTTCATATATATCCAGTAAATTTTGTGGTGAGCACCAGTAAACGCAAAATAATTGACTTTAGTTTACTTCAGGCCAAACGGGCTATTGCTTTAAAATGGAAGGAGATACAAGGTCCTTCCTCTATACTCTGGATTAAAGAAATGACTAACAACCTCACCATGGAAAAACTCACTTATGCAGTTAAAGGGAAACTTAAAGACTTTTACAATATTTGGACTCCATTTTTATGCTATTGTAACCAAGAGGACTTGAAAGCGATGGACGACTAATACTCAACATTCATTTCTTTGTATTGGGTATCTCCATTACATAATGTGATATTCTAAAAATGACTTAATACTCAGACATGGTAAAAGTTTAAACTGTGAATTGGATGGCTGTGAATGCTGGTGTACGGAAACTAGTGAGAGATGTATTTTTTTTGTATTTGTTGATTTTTTTTATTATTATTTATGTATTATAATTTTTTGGGGGGGGGATTTTAAAGTTTTGTAAGGATCTCTTACTTATGTATGTTTTTTTCTCTCTTTTATTTAATTAAAACAAATGCAAATACATATATTTTGGGAAAAAAGTGAAGGTTAAGATATTTATAATATCAAAATAGATCCTTATAATAAATAAATACTCTTTTTTTAAACTATTCATTTATAAAATCATACTGAAAAACCAAAATTGATAATAGGAAAAGAGTAAAAATCAGCACATCACAATGATTTCTAAAAGGTCATGGGACACTGAAGACTGTGTCAAAAGTGTGAATGTAATTTTTAAACAAAATAATAAAAAGGTTTTCACTATTTGATGAAATAAATGCAGCAAGAGACCTACCGACCCCAAACTTCAGAACTTTGCATCATAATTAACTAAAGATTATATAAACATCCAATTAGTGAGTGAGTAAGATGTTAACTGCTCTAATGTATTCAAGAGATCCTGTTCATTATACCCATGCTAACATACATCTGATATTATGAGTGTTTTTCCTCGATTCATTAAAAGATGTGACTCATAACAGTCATCCGTTCTTAAATCAGACTATGCTATGCTAGTCGTTTAATATGAATCTTGCTAAAACTGCATAAATTCATTTACATGAATCAAACTAAATTTAACTCAAAGATGCTGTTAAACTGTGTCCAAATAAACTTAGTCTTGCAAGGTGAAGGACAAGAAAGGATTGAAAAACTAGTCTAATGACACTCTATTTAGGAGAAGTTAATTGACTAATTAAAAGCACATAAAATGATCACACTATTTGGACTTGATAGTTGACTTTTGATACTGCTCGCTATATATAAACAATTACTTTAGATTAAACACCCTTGAATTGGGTTTCTTGTTAAGACAGCTGCATCAGCTTAAATTGCCTTAAAACAATTACTTTTTGACTTAACTCTTTCCTTTCATTAAGAACAAAATCAATCAAGTAGATTAATCAACAGGAGTTCCATTTCTCATAATGCTTTGCTTATGTAAAGGGAGAGAATATGTTGAAATAGTGTTACTTTTTAACACCAGCGTTTAACACCAGCGTTATAACATTTCCACTTATTCTAAAGAACCACACTAATTCTTAAAAAAAAAAAAATAAACCTCCCAAATTGAGCACACCAGTTTAGCTGTGTATATTCAGATCAAGTCAAACACCATAGTTATTTCTGAGTGATTAAACATTATTGCACTTCTGTAACTCAAACCGAACAAGCTTGGTTTGATTCCCAGTGAATGCATGAAAAAAATGCATTGTAAACAACTCAATAATAACTAAATTGATATATTATATCAATATTGACCACAATTTTAATAAAGGTTGATTTCAAATACAAACTCTAGCAACCTATATCACCTACAAGAAGTAAGGCTGTGCAGTATGACACTCACTAGCGACTTTTTTAGGTACACCTTACTGGTACTGGGTTAGACTCCCTTTAGCCTTCAGATCTGCCTTAATCCTTCATGGCGTAGATTCAACAAAATACTGGAAATATTCCACAGAGAGTTTGGTCCATATTGACATAATAGCATCATGCAGTTGCTGCAGATATGTTGGCTACAGATCCATGATGCAAATCTCCCATTTCACCACATCCCAAATGCGCTCTATTGTATTGAGATCTGGTGACTGTGGAGGCCTTTTGAGTACAGTGAACTCATTGTCATGTTCAAGAAACAGGTCTGAGAGGATACAGGCTTTATGATATGGTGCGTTTTCCTGCTGGAAGTAGCCATCAGAAGATGGGTACACAGTGGTCATAAAGGGATGGACATGGTCAGCAACAATACTCAGGTAGGCTATGGCATTGACATCATGCTCAACTGGTACTAATGAGCCCAAATTGTGCTAAGAAAATATCCCCCACACCATTACACCACCACCACCACCAGCCTGAACTGTTGATACGAGACAGGATCCATGCTTTCATGTTGTTGATGCCAAATTCTGACCCCACCATCAGAATGTCACAGCAGAAATCGAGACTCTTCAGACCAAGCAACATTTATCCAATCTTCTATTGTCCAATTTTGGTGAGCCTTTGCGAATTGAAGCCTTTGCGAATTGTATCGGTTTCCTGTTGTTAGCTAACAGCAGTTGCACCCGGAGTGGTCTTTTCCTGATGTAGCCCATCTGCCTCAAGGTTTAACGTGTTGTGCATACAGAGATGCTCTTTTGCAGAACTTGGTTAAAAAAGCAAGTGGTTACTTGAGTTACTGTTGCTTTTCTATCAGCTGAAACCAGTCTAGCCATTTTCCTCTGACCTTTGGCATCAACAAGGCATTTGCACCCACAGAACTGCCGCTCACTGGATAGTTTCTCTTTTTTAAACATTCTCTGTTAACCCTAGACATGTTTGTGCGTGAAAATCCCAGTAGATGAGCAGTTTCTGAAACACTCAGACCAGCAAGTCTGGCACCAACAACCATGTCACGTTCAAAGTCACTTAAATCACCTTTCTTCCCCATTCTGATGATCGGTTTGGACTGCAGCAGATCGTCTTGATCATGTACACCTGCCTACATGCATTGAGTTGCTGCCATGAGATTGGCTGATTAGAAATCTGCATTAATGAGCAGTTGGACAGGGATACCTAATAAAGTGGCTGGTGAGGGTTTATCAGATGGACAACATAAAAAGCCTTTCCTTTCAAATTATTCATATTATGCTCTGTTGTTTATTTCATGATGTTGCAAAAAAAAAAAAAAACTTTGTTTATGGTAATATTTCATCATTTGAATGAACACCACCACAGGGATACAGGCAAAAATGTGAAAATCATGCTGAGAACGTTGCTGGGTTGAAAATACAATGTTTACATTTTACATTTTATTTAGCAATATTTTCATGTTTGACCTTAAATCATTTGTTTTTGAAAAGTGATTGATATGTCATTACTATTTATTTCGCATTTCTACGTTCTTAATCAAGCATTTGCCAAGACGATCTAAATAAAATAATCTCACATGAATCAGTACATTGAGTATACGCTTTAAAAATGTATAAAGAAATAGTCCTTTCCATGTGGTCTGTTGATATTTTCAAAAAAACTATTATTTGATGGAATTTATAGAAATGTATTATATTGTGATTAGGCAGATGATGATAACCTCTATTAAAGTATGATATGGTATGTAAACATTTGTAAAATGTTTTTTTAAGAAAACAGTATATCCAGCCGAAAACATATCCAAAGATGCCATTTTAAATAGTAAAGAAATCAGTGTTTTTGAAACTAATAGAGACAGCAGAAGTCAATGACTCATTTGAATTATTTAGCCTGACATGTTTACCGCTCCAAAACACTTTAAATGTTTCTCAACATAAAATATATTGTGTTCAAAGAGGAAAAAGGTTGTAGTTTTTCACTCAGAAATTTTAAAAAGAACTTATTTTATCACAATCCCGTCAAACCGTGATGTTTTTATCCAAGATTATCATACCGTCAAAATCTTATACCAGCCTATGAATAATTGTGACATATATCATTATCAGGATATGAGATTATTTATTTATTTATTTGAGATTTTTGTCAGAATACAGAGCTTTAAGATTCGCAGTCTTCTCATTAGTTAAATCAATAGATGACCAAGCCCCAAAAACACATTAAAGACCCCACAGCAAAAGTCTTAAGGCCAAGTGATCTCAAATACAGGCTCTGGGGAAATCAGTCACAGGTCTAGTCCATACTAATAAGCCCTCGAACCGTCCCTGTCACCCCACAGATAACAGCGTCCTCAGCTCCAATCAAAACAGCCCAGAACCACACCGGGCGCAAGTTTATCGAGACTGCTCTTTCTGTGGCTCAGGAGGGAACATTTGGGTCTGAATACCTAAAACCCGACTCAGATGAAATGTTCCTTCTTGCTTTATACCTCCTGATGACACAGCGCTTTTCTGCTCTCTAAATGTAGCTGTCCGTGGTGCTGAATTCTAATCAGTGACGGCTCTCTGCATGCGTGCGTTTCCGTGTGCATGTATTCATTCGGATCAGCGGGGGTCCTGAGCACATCCTCCTACCGCTGGGTATCAGAAACGATCTCTTGATATATCTGAGAGAGATTGCATCTCATCAGTCTGGTTAACCTGGTTTAAATTCATCCATTTATTTAACTCTGTTTATACAATAATCATAAAGAGCCATGCTTTTTTCTCTATTTCGTCTGAGCAATCTGTGGCCTTATGTGTTTGTTTGAACAGCAGTGGTCTTGGTAACTGTTGTCATGCCAACCTCCACCCCCAGTCTTTCCTCCTTCTCCTGTATCTTTGAAGCGGGGTTCCAATGCAGACCCGTTCCGACCAATCACTGCGAAGCTCTTAGCAACACCGAACAGTCACAGGGAATTAACTGTTTGCGCTCTGCATGTATCTCTGTGTGTTCTCCGTCTAAAACTCTGGCTTGCACTCTGCATATGTGTGCGTCTGTGTGTGTGTTAGAGATAGAGAGAGAGAGGGAGTATGTATTGGCATCTCCTGTGCGTGGGAGGAGGGACGCAGGTGGGAAAGACGGAGAAAAATAGAGAGAGAGTCAAGCAAATGGAAAGATACGAACAAGGAAAGTGGACGGTGTATAAAGCTGCTATGAATAGATTTCTGCGAGCAAACCTCAGGTGACAGCGTAACCCATGAATAATACGATGCTGTCACAACATTTCTCAGCACAGCTTTAATGAAGTCACACTGAATCAAGTACAAATTCCCATTTAAAGAACATTATGTTCATTAGCGTCCACCAAACCCCTATTAACATATCACAGCTGACCTAATATGCTGTAGTAAAATGTAAATTTGCACAGAAATCTCCTGTGAACACAAAATCTTCAGCAAAGCGCTGATAATGACACTCCACACTGTTTGAATAAATAACATCAACAGCAAGCAAACACTCTTCTGGAATGACTAGTTCAGCGCACACTCAACTGCATACTATCAAACAGTTCCAATAATGGAAAGTAATTAAAGAGGCTCATGCAGTGCTCACTTACCATACTGTCATAGTGGATTAATTCGAGCTCATAATCCGGAAGAATATCCGTTCTCTTGTTCACCAGATCCAGGGCCATTTGGGCAGCAGGGAGACATGCTTGACCACCTGGCCATCCGCCACTCATAGGGAACAGGGCTCCGATGTAGAGTTTCTTTTTGCCTAGAACCGGGCAGGACCAGGATAACAGTAAAAAAAGGGTGACCCAAGTAAAGTAGGAAGTTGATAGCAAGCTCCGTCCCCTGCTGTGCTGCTGCCAACTTAGTTTGGCCATAGTGGGCAAGAGTGTGTGCCAACAGTTTATGTTTTGATTATTTTACATGAAAGGGAAAGCTGGAGGACTTTGACAGGAATTTTAGTTTTTGATAAAAATATATATTTTGGATAGAATAATCCTCTCAATGCTGAAAATCACGTGAATACAGCACTGATAATTACCCATAAACTTCTATTGGCCTTTAATATACTTTTACAGGTTGTACCTTTGTTTATTTTCAGGGCGAGACATAAACACGACATTGGAGACTATGAGCTAACGAAACACATCTTTGAGTGCCTTGGAAATTGCGTTACGTTTATTTTTGTCGCGTCAAACATTTGTGATTTATTTGGAGTATACTAGACAAACATTTTTAAAATTTACAAACTTTCAAAGACACACGAAGAAAGTTTTAGGTATCTGGCGTTAAGTCCGACGATAATAAAATAACATTAACATGAACGTAACTGCGGCTTAACATTCACCAACTACGCGGAGTAACGTTAACGAATGTTAGCGACGAGTAAACAATAACAATCTGTCATTGCCTTAATAGTTTAGTACTGTAGACTTATACTCACGGTTCTCCGCAACCCCGAACGAATAAAGCAAACAGATAAGCATTACATGTTTATTTTTTGGAAAGCGCAATGTTAGGCTACACACAGTCCACCGGAATCCTCTGCGCGCGTCTACAGAAAAACGACAGGTTGAATTCAGGAAGAAAAGCAATTAGCGCGGAAAAACGGAGGATGATAATGTCGTTGTGAACAATCGGTATAAAACACAGTACGAAAACAAAAGAAACGGCAAACGAAGTTGCAGCAGTGAGTGAGTGTGTGTTTGTGTTCGTTGGATGCAGCAGGAGACTGAGGGAGAGAGTGTGTGTGCTGGGTTTATAGAGAGAGACAGCTAGCTCGCGCGCGCACTCGAGACTGGGAGTGAGAGAGAATGTGTATGTGTGAGAGAGAAACTGTGAGAGAAAGAGAGATAGCAAGAGGAGAGTTTGTGTGTGAGAGAGAGAGAGCCGTAGATGTGTGGAGCTCATTTTCCTTCTCCGTTTCACAGAGCACTTTGAATTTGCAATCCCTTAACACAACCACTCTGGTTTATTACCCCCTCCTTATCCGCCAACTACACCCGAACCCTCCACCTCCAATACACATTTTTTTTCTCTCTCTCTCTCACTATCTCTTCCTCAGATGTTAATTTACAAAATAATTTCATTTAACCACGATGAGACCCGAGAGTATCCCATGCACCCCAAAACAATTACATCTTGACAATTTCACAACTGTTTAGCTTGTTGGTCTCACTCACTTTTGTTATTGTTCCTTTGTTATTTTTGGTTCAGACAAAAAATAATAATAAAACAAAACAAAACAAAATTAAATTAAATTAAATTAAATCAAATTATTAACTATTAATTAAATAGTTTGTATATATAGCAAACATTAAAAGTATTCGCCTTAACGCCTATATTGTCGCCTCACAGCAAGAAGGTCGCTGATTCGAGGCTTGGCTGGGTCAGGTGGCATTTTTGTGTAGTTTACATATTCTCCCCGTGTTCGCGTGGGTTTCCTCCAGGTGCTCCGGATTCCCCCACAGACCAAAGACTGGTGAACTGAATAAACTAAATTGGCCGTAGTGTATGTGTGTAAATGTAAGAGTGTATGGGTGTTTCCCAGTACTGGGTTGCAGCTGGAAGAGCATGTAACACATATGCTGCATAAATCAGCGGTTCATTCCGCTGTGGCAAATTATGCAATCACGTTAGTTGAAATGAAATTATTTTGATTGTTGAATATGGAAAGATGTGTTTGCTTGATCATAAAGCAATCAGGTTGATTTCTGAATTTGTCACAAACTTAACTCATCGTTTCTGTGCACAGTATTTTCTAATAAATTGTTTGTGCTTACAATCTATTTAAATGGTTTAAATCACACATTTCATTTGGATCAAGATCTGTCAGATAAGTAAAGATCATGTTTACATGAAGGTTTTTTTCAGTGTTGGGCCATCATTCCAATTACCAATGGTTGCAAGTAAACATAGCACTGCCAGAGTGCTTGGGTTAAAGACATAACCCACACAAATGCAGGGAGAACATGCAAACTCCACACAGAAACACCAACTGAGCTGAGGTTCGAACCAGCGACCCAGCAACCTTCTTGCAGTGAGGCGACAGCACTACCTACTGCGCCACTGCATTGCGGCATAACCTACTTTAATCCAATGGTTGAGTTAAAAATATTTGTTGCTTTTATTGGGTTATTCGTTTAATAACTCAACCATTGAGTTAAATATTTTGTGCTTTGTTGCATTATTTTTAACTTTTATTGTTATTTATTTATTATTTAAAAATTATTTAATAAATTAGAAAATATTTTTATATAAAACAATACATTTTATTTTGTAATATTATTATTATTATTATTATTACATAACCTCAAATTATTATAATACTATTATATTTAATTGTATTTCCCAGAGATGGGTTGCAGCTGAAAGGGCATCCGCTGCGTAAAACATATGCTGGATAAGTCGGCAGTTCATTGCGGTGTGGCGAATATTTGATTGTATATTAAACATTATTTAATTATGTCACAATTGTATTTGTTTAACTCTCACCATACAAAATATGGTAGAAAACAATGTTATACATAGTTTATAGGTATAATTTATACTTCTACATATTTATTGGGGGGCACCAGATTTCCTGGGGCCCTAAGCGGCTGCTTACAGTACCTCGCTTAATGGTTAAATCCGCCCATTTCCGGTTCGTGTTTTTTGCTTATATCCCTTTCACCAGCACTCTTAATTATTGATGATAGAAATGCACGCTTCACAGCCAATTTATATTCAATGGATAAAACGCTTTCTCTACCTCCATTGTTCATCTCTACAGTTTTTTGGGGGGGAAATGATAGACATATTCAGTACTCGTCATAATTCTCGCCTTTAGCACCCAATGGAGACAACAAACCGGTGTCGCATCTGTTGCCTTTTTATTAAATACAGTCATTTCACTAGGAAACTTAAATGTAATGCTGATGTGTGCTTATAAAATGTGAAAAGGAGTCAAAAATTCACTTTTTTCTGCTGCGAGGCAACGCTTTTCCTGTACCAAGCCTGTAATAAATAAACAACATAGCAACTATGACAAGAAAAAAAAAAACATGCATGCATTCTTGATCATTGTATTAATTTCAGGGATGGGATCTTGTTCACATCCTGTTTTTGATTCATTTATCAGTGTAGCTGCAGTTGTTTACTTCAGATGCCAATGTTCATGCTTTTTCAAAAGCACTGTACTTACAGAACAACCATACCAGTGTTAGTTTTAATCATACACAGCCTAAAGATTGAATGTATCTTGAACCTTTCTAGACAGAACCTGCTGTAGACTACATTATGAATCACATGCTCGGTTCCTCTCACCCACACACCTTCATCTCCACTGCACCATCTATTTCCAAACTCACAGCCAGCGCTCACACTAATCCTGCACCTTACAGCAGATACATCGTGGTAAACAGGATCCACAGAGAAGTGACTATGAGCACTTGTCTGTAGTCTTCAATAATGTATCTCCAAACTGATGGGCTGACACCGATCCTTCTCTTCCTCTAACTCTCTTCCTCACCTTCCCCCGAACCCAATGTTTTTCCTCCGAGCTGAGTGCTATTTTTCTACACGTTCAGTGGCTTTGCTAACACATTCGCCCTCTCACTAATCCTGAGAGTTGATGAGAATCACTGTAGCTATCTATCCGTTTTCCTGTGCTCCGTTTATTCCCAGAACACTCTTGACTGATCTTGCAACTTCTCTTGCTGCAAAAAGCAGCACAAGCCCTGTTACATCACATCGATTCTCAAAGTTATGGGTGACACGGGCCACGATCAAGCAGACTCGGCAATGAATAATGAAACTCCAGTAAGAAACATGAGGTATGGCTTTCATTATGTGCTTTGGGTAATTCAGATTGTTGAGGTAATACGTTTTCGCAGAGGTTCTGGTGCAAAGCTGATTAGCGATTCCTACATGTTTTAAACAACACGGGTCGCTTTTGTAATCAAAACACTTAGCCTGAGATGAAATAGCTGTAGAGGTTTTCAGGCCTCCTTTCTCTTTCTCTCTCTCGAACCGTTTCGATTACCACATTCTCTCCGACATCAAAACCCAGAGGCGATGGTTATATATCAGAGAACTGGTATTAGCTTAGCAGCTGCTGCAAGTAGCCTGGGGTTGTGCCACTGATGAAATACACCCCTGTATGTGTGGCGAATGCCGAGTGGTGATTAACCTCCAGGGTGGCGCCAATGTTCAATTCCTAAACAGTTCACCCAAAAGACAAGCACTCTCAGAATGATCACAAAATGATTCGAAATAAGCATGCCAGAGTTTATAGAGATCTGCCAATAGGTGGTGCTACAACAGTTTGCTGTTTTTAATGGTCAATTACCAGACTTTTCTGTGTTGTAATGACATAGGTAGTTAACTATTATAATTGCTGCTTGCAGCTACTTCATCTCTGGCAGCTATTTCATCTCAGGCTAAGAGCTTTAATTACAAAAACGAGTCGTGTTTTTTTTAAAAACGTAGGCAACATAAGCTTTGCACCAGAATGTCAGCTAAAATATATTACCTTAAATATCTAAATTACCAAAAGCAAATAATGAAAGACAATTTTTATTTCTAGGTCCACACGAAATCTGCACATGCAGAAGTCCAAAGATGTTTAGCTTTACTTGTGTAAATGTATAAAGTTATATTAATTCATTTTTTAAAATTAAATTTCGGTAATTTTATTGACTAATATGAAAATCTCCTTTTTACAATATTTATTTATTTACAATACAGTTTGTTAGATACTATATATTATATGTGAGACTTGCTTTG